TGCCAGGGGCGTAGATGTGCATGCCCAAGATCTGAAGAGGAGAATGGAGGAAAAGGGATTGTGGTGTGACTACACCCCCCGGGGGGTGATTTCTCGCTTTCTATCTCTCTGTCTCTCTCTGTCTTTCTGGTGAGCGCACGCACCCTATAGCAAAAACCTCTCAAAAAAAAAAAAATCCAAAGGGTAAGAAATAAGGTGTCTAATTGTTGATACTCACAAAAGTGGTCACGAATGACTATCCTTGCAGAGTTCTGTGAGGGAAACATAACAAACTCTTGCGTATGGACCAAATGAGGGTGACACGAGAAATGGAAATGGGATCATCTTGAATCTTGTACCTGAGGGCTGCCTAGAAGAGTAGATTTGAAACATTAGCAGAAGAAGCCAAAGAGATGATCAGCTTTTTAAAATGGAGGAAAGAATAAGCTAGAATGTACAGATGGACCAGCACACTCAAGGGAACTGCAGAACAATGCAAGATTGCTTAGGACCTCATGCAAGTGTTCAGTCATCTATACATTTCTGAAAAGTCAGAAAAACACAAGCTATGCCGGCACTAATCAAGGTAAGGTCTTTTCTTGCTTCTCTTTCCTCTGTTATCCCCAAACCTAGAGCAGTTCTAAGCAGCTCATGGGAAGAGAAAAGGAAGAGGAGAAATTTGATCACTCTTTCTATGGTGTAGGAGTCTCTGCATGAAACAATAACAAGCTGGAGAAGGAGAGAGTCGACTTTAAGTTGAGTTCATATTGAACCCTTGTGTTATCATAAGGGATCACACATTCTTTTATTTTTGGGGGGAGAGGTTTTTTCTATAGGGCGTGTGTGCTCGCCAGAAAGACAGAGAGAGACAGCGAGACAGAAAGTGAGAAATCACTTCCCAGGGGAGGGGGGGTGCCCACGCTGCAATTCCTTCTCCTCCATTCTCCTCTTGGGATCTTGGGCACACATGCACACGTACCCGGCATGAGTTTAAGCCACTGGGTCTGGGACTCAAACTGTGGTAGACTATACGGGAGTCCAATGACATAGCCATTATGCCATCTGCTGGTTCCAGTCACATCTATTATTTTCTAAGTTGTGACTGGGTTTCGTTTCCCAAAATGTTATAAGGATGCCTGAATTTTCATCCAAAGGAAGAAGTAGATTTTTATTAGATTTAAGTGAAACTGACATATAAGTTACTTGTTTCTGGATCTCATCAGTTGTAACATACCAGCTACACTACATGTAAAAAGAAAAATGTTTATGATGTAGCATTAAGTGAGAACATCTGTGTAGTAGGATTAAAACGTGGCCCAGCTTCATGGTTGTTTGTACATGCTGAACTGCAGTGCTGGAAGGCACATGGCCAACTACAGTTCAGATCCCCAGGTCAGCCTGAGAACATACCAGCCGTACACACAGGTGCCCAAGATCCTAAGGAATAGGGCTGTGGAGAGAGGATTGTAATCTGATGAGACTCTTTAGAGGGTTCTCTCTCTCTCTCTCTCTCTCTCTGTCTCTCTCCCATGAGTGTACATGTGCTATTACAAAAAAGGATTAAAATGATAAAATATGAATATAAAATAAAGTGTAGAATAAACTTGTCACAATACTTATTTTGGGGCAGTAGGCTTTATGTCACTTTCCTAACATTTTCCCCCTAATATTGCACTTACTACAATAAAAATGATAGCTGTTTTCCTCTTTTTTTTTTTTTAACTTGACAGAGGGCATGTGCTACCTGGGAGAGACATTGAGAGAGAAAAAGATGGAGAGACAGAGAGAGAAAGTGAGAAAACAACTCCCATGGGGCATGGTCACACTCCAATCGGTTGTCCCCCGTATATCCCTCCTTTTGGGATTTTGGGCATGCACACACATGTGTCTGATGTGTTTCTCAAGCTGTCAGGTCCAGGACTCAAACCATACAGTTGGTCATGTGGGATCCAGCCACCTTAACTACCATGCCGTAGACTGGCTCTCAGGACAGCTATTTCTACAATAAAACATAAGGCGATTTTTATTTTGAAAAATAAATGAACAGTAAAAATAATGTACAATGTTAGGGCATGAGATAACAGGGATTGTTTCTTCTTTTCTCTATATCCTTATTAGCTTTTTTTAATATACAGGTTTATAATGTAAAATTAATTTTTAAATGTTTTAATACTTCTTCTTTTCTGTGCTAGATTATGTATGTATTAATGATTTTTCTAACCATAGTTTCCATTTGTTAATAAACATAATTCTTTTTATTTTGAAGATATTAGTAAACGAGTGGCTTTTATTTTAACTCATTAAATTTTGAATTAAATACTTATTTTCACAATTCTACTTTCCTACATATAGTGTATTATACAATATGATTGAAAGTATAGGCTCCCCCCACTCCGGGGGGCGCGCCACGCGGCCGGGTGGGGCTCACGCCCCGCCCCAGCGCAGCCGCGCACTGGGAACAGCCTGGCAGGCGCCCCCCCCCTCCGTGTATAGTATTCTCAA